AATTATGAATTAGGTAATATTTAAATGTAAATTAATTGAATTAAATAAAAATTATATATTAATTTCAATATTAATTCAAGAAACTGTTTTTTTTTTATTTTAATAGATTTATGTACCCATGTGACTTTCGTCGGTAATTTACAAATTGAAAATTCCCACATTGCATTGCCAATTCAAATTTCAAACACCATTCTCCTCTGTAATTAGCCAACATACTCCACCTAGTACGCCACTGTTCATAATAGGTAGAGACATGATTCTTGTCGGTAACTAGCCCACCATCCCACCTACCAAGACACTGTTTATTGTACTTGGAGACATGATCTTCGTCGGTGAATTACCGACGTGAGTTACTAGAAAAAAACTTCGGTAGTACTATTCCAGGACAACTTTGGACACATTTTTTGTCGGTAATTTGGAGTTATCCTACCGACGTAACTTTTATCCACATCGGTAAATGAATTACCGAGGCCACTTTCACCGAGGACCCAACTACCGACATGATTCATATCGAAAAATTGCTTTACCGACGTGATTTCCTTTCTTTCCCACATGATTTCACGTCGGAGAATTTATGAATTCTAGTAGTGATCATCATTGTGCTTTGTGGTAACAATAACCTTCTCAACAACCAAATAAGCAGAGTAGAAACCAACACCATATTTTCCAATCCTGCTGATATCAGCACCAGCAACCAATGCCTTCACAAATTCCTTGGTTTCGAACCTTGAATGGATACCGAGATTGTTCACCAAATCTAAGCAAAAAAATAGTAGTTATCATCAATGGAAAACATCATAATACTGGCACAAACATTGGACTGAAAAAATTGTCGAAATGAACTTACCAGCCTTGGTCATGCCAATACCACTATCAATAATAGACAGTGTGTTATTGGTCTTGTCAGGTACAACACAGATAAAGAACCGTGGATGGGCATGGAGCTTGCTCTTGTCTGTCACGCTCTCAAATACAATTTTGTCCAAAGCCTGACAAGTATAATGACAGCAACATATCAACAATTAATTATAAGAGTACAAGTAGTGTTGTCAAAATCTAGATTTAAATCATAAAATCTTATGATTTTACGATTCTAGCATGGCATTTCGTGTAAAATTTATACGAAAATCGGAAATTCATGAAATCAGAGGTCAAAAACGTAAAATCACGATTTTAATGTGAAATCGGTTAAAATCTCAATTTTACCCCTTATTTGGCAACTAGGCTATTTGCCTATTTCCTTTTGGGCTTCCCATCTTGGGTTAATGGGCTTTGACCAGACAACCCTTAAATTAAACCCATTTTTCATTTTAAAAGCCCACAACCCACAACCCAACCACGAGTACAAGCAGTGTTGTCAAAATTTAGATTTAAATCATAAAATCTTACGATTTTACGATCCTAGCATGGCATTTCGTGCAAAATTTATACGAAAATCGAAAATTCATGAAATCGGAGGTCAAAAATGTAAAATCATGATTTTAATGTGAAATCGGTTAAAATCTCGATTTTACCCCCTATTTGGCAACTGGGCTATTTGGCTATTTCCTTTTGGGCTTCCCATCTTGGGTTAATGGGCTTTGACCAGACAACCCTTAAATTAAACCCATTTTTCATTTTAAAAGCCCATAACCCACAACCCAACCACAAATCAAGATTTTAATCGGGACAAATTTGATCTAACCATCTAAAATTCTAAATCTAAGTCATCTTCTTTAGTCTTCACTTAAGGTTCGCCGCAGGGAAAGGAGAGATTGGATTGGATTGCCGCGGCTCATCACTGCCACTGTCGCTGCCCACTGCCTGCCACTGCTCACTGCCACTGCCATTGTCATTGCTCACTGCTCAGTCATTTGCTGCTGCTCACTACTGAGGGGCTTGTTGGAGTTGCTGCTGTGCAGCTCACTGCTCAGAAGCTTCCCGAAGTTGCTTATTGCCTGCTGCTGCCCATTGCCTGCTGCTGCCATTGCTTGCCGCTGCTCACTGCTCAGTCATTTGCTGCTGCTCATTGCTTAGGCGTTGCTGAAGTTGCTGTTGTGTTGCTCACTACTCAACAGCTTCTCGGAGTTGCTTGCTGCTGCTCATTGCTCTGCCTTGCTGGAGTTCCTGCTGGCGCTTATTGACTCTTTTTCTCCTTCTCCTCAACTGAGGTATGCTTTCTCTCTTGATCTTGAATCTTGAATCTTTGCTTTACTCTTTAGACTTTAATCTTTCTCTCCTCTACTTTTTGATTTCATGTATGTTTGCTTTTTTTGTAATTTCTTTGTGTGGCATTATTTAGTTAGTTAGGAGTTAGGAGTTAGGAACTTAGGAACTTAGGATTTACTGATTTAGTACTGAGATTCGGCTTCTTTTTTTTCTTTTTTTTTTCCTTCCGTGGCTTATTGAAATTTTAGAAATGTCTACTTCTAGAAAAAGATTCATAGGAAGAATGCTCCTGGAAATATATTAGATATTGGGTGGGAGCATGGGATTGATGTTTGAAAAAAGTTCTAAAAAAGTCAAGTGCAACTATTGTGGTAAGACTTTTACTGGAGGAATTTATAGATTCAAAAATCACTTGGTTGGCACTAAACAAGATTGTAAAGCATGTGTCAGTGTCCCTAAAGATGCTAGGAATCTTATGTTAAGTATCTTGATTGAGATGGACAACTCAAAGAAAAGAAAAAAAAAAATTTAATTGATGTTGGGGATGATGGTGATTGTGGCCGTGACACTAAGCTTGATGAATATAGCATTCGTGATTTATTTTAGTTTGTCTTGATGAATGATGAGTGAAGTGGGATATTTGACACTGTTTGCCCATTAAGTTTAAATGTTCAGCACCTTATTTTAGTTTGTCTTGATGAGTGAAGTGGGATATTTGCCACTGTTTGCCTATTAAATTTAAATGTTTAGCACTTTATTTTAGTTTGTCTTAATGAGTGACATGGGATATTGACATTGTTTGCCCATTAAGTTTAAATGTTCAGCATCTTGATTATAGCATCTTGATTATTTGGATCATATCTGCTTAAAATCTCCACCAATTTCTTTTTATCTCTTTTGGTAGGAGAGTTAGTGCTTAACATTTTTAATTTTATTTGTAGTTACTAGTTAGTTTAAATGTTTAACTAATGACTTATATTAAATTAATTTATTTATTTGTGTTATTGGATATTTAGATTTAATTATCTAATTTCAAGTTTCTAACTCTAAATTTAATTTATTATTGTTTAATTTTGATTTTATGTAATTTATTATATATTATATATTAAATTTTGTAAACTCTCGATTTTATCCATTCGATTTTATGATTCCGATTTCACCTAACTAAAACGATTTTAGGTAAAATCTCAATTTTGACAATCTTGAGTACAAGTAAATCCTTACAAATTTATTTGGAATATCATTGGTTTAATCCTTAATGTCCAACCAAAAGAAGGGAAACAACACATCAGGATGAGATTAATCAGTACAGAAACGGATACCCTTTAATGGATCAACCCTACCAAAGTAGGAGGGGTAGAAGCAGAACCCTTTTAAAAGCATCAAACATTTATTCCAGAAAAAGCTCATAACTTTGACACGCATACAATGCACAAAAAAGCCACAATCCATCCGATAAATAAACCATGAAAGCAGCAAGTATGGAATAATTGACTCAGCAAGACACTCATAGCACGAAAACTAAAACGCGACTTCACGAATCAACGAATGAGGGAAGAAGGAGATACGCACATCAGAGGCGTTGCTGATGAGCTCACGGAGGAAGATCTCCGCGTTGCTGTGGGAGTCGTCGATAATCAAGGTGAGCAACTGGTTGATCTCATCGAGGAAATCAAACGTCTCAGCGTCCGCCGTGGATGGATTACGCTGGTTGGTTTCTACTCTGCTTATTTGGTTGCTGAGAAGGTTATTGTTACCACAAAGCACAATGATGATGAGCAGTATGTATGGGAATCTCAAGCTGATGGGTCATTCACTGTCACCAGGGACACCTCTGGTGAGAACTTGGGCAAGGGTACCAAGATCACACTTTTCCCCAAGGAGGACCAGCTTGAGTACCTTGAGGAGCACCGTCTCAAGGACTTGATTAATAATTACCCTGAGTTCATTAGCTACCCAATTTCTCTGTGGGTTGGGAAGACTACTAAGAAGGAGATCTCAGATAACGAGGATGAGGAAGAAAAGAAGGACGAGGAAGGAAAGGTTGAGGATATTGATGAGGACAAGGAAAAGGAGAAGAAAAAGAAGAAGATCAAGGAGGTTTCTCATGAGTGGCGTTTGGTGAACAAGCAGGAGCCCATCTGGACGAGGAAGCCTGAGGAGATCACAACCGAAGAATATGCTGCTCTCTACAAGAGACTTACCAATGATTGGGAGGAGCACTTGTCTGTTTCTCTGTTAAGGGCCCTTTTGGGTTCAGGGCTATCCTTTTTGTTCCCAAGAGAGCACCCTTTGATCTCCTTGACACCAGAAAGAAGCAAACCAACATTAAGGTGTATGTACCCCATGCCTTTGGTATGGACAACTGTGAGGACCTAAACCATGAATATCTTGGCTTTGTAAACGGCATTGTTAATTTTGAGGACCTTCCTCTCAACATTTCAAGAGAAATGTTGCAGCAAAATAAGATCTTGAAGGTTATTTGTAAGAACTTGGTGAAGAAGTGCATTGAGCTCTTTTTTGAGATTGCTGAGGACAAGGAAGACTACAACAAGTTCTATGAGTCATTCTCTAAGAATCTCAAGCTTGGTATCCTTGAGGATTCCCAAAACAGGACTAAGATTGGTGAATTGCTCAGTTATTACTCTACCAAGAGTGGTGATGAGATGGCCAACTTGAAGGAGTATGTAACCAGGATGAAGGAGGAGCAGAATGACATCTACTACATCACATGTGCGAGCAAAAAGGCTGTTGAGATTTCTCCATTCCTTGAGAAGTTGGAGAGGAAGGGATACAAAGTCCTATCCGTGGTGGATGCTATAGATGAGTATACAGTTGGTCAACTAAAGGAGTTTGAGGGTAAGAAGCTTGTTCCTGCTACCAGGGAGGGTCTGGAACTTGATAAGGGTGAAGATGAGGAGGAAAGGAGTGAAGCTTTTACAGAGACGTTGGGGAAATTTTTCAAGGGGATCAAGGATTTTTTGGCCGCTAAGGTGGAGAAGGTGATGGTGCAAGTTTGGCCTAGCATTGATGAGGACTGAGGCAGAACAACTGAGAAGAGGATGCTTTTATATGAGAGGACTTCGTTAGGGTTTCGGTTTCTAGATCCTTCTATGGGCTTGGATTTTTCCCTTCTTTTTTTTTTTATTTTCTTTAAATTAATTTCTAAAAATAATTGTAGTAAACTGCTTTGACGTGTTCCCCTTAATAGGATGCTGCCACGTAGGTGCCTTTTTGTTTTAAACTCTAACTAAAATTCATTTCCTTAATTTTTTAGTTGATAAGTTATTTTTTTTCTTTGAATAATTTTTAATTTCTTTCTTTATTATTTACTCTTTTTTTTAGTTTGAC